GGGGTACAGCATTGTTTCTCACCCTTGGAAACTTGAAGATGCCCGGCCTTCACCCCCCAGAATCCCTCAGCCAGCGAATGCGGGCTGGGGAATTCTGGGAGTTGAAGTCCGGACATCTTCAAGTTGCCAAGGTTGAGAAACACTGCTGTACCACTTCAGACAAATGGTTCTCCAACATTGTCTTTAAAACTTTTGTGTTATCTAGGTGTGTCTTAACCCAGGCCTTTCATTTGTTCTTTAGCCTCTGAAGAGTGAGGATGCCGAAATGGATGATGATGATGAAGTAGAAGAACAGGAGACCTTGTTGGATTCCGCCCCCAAAGTGCAGGAAAGGAAGGTGAGAATTGGGGTGTATGTTTTCAGCTGTGCCTATTTTGGAGTTCTTGGTGTTCTCTGAGCTTGGTTGTTTGCTTGGAGACATTTCATTACCCATCTAAGTAGCATCATCAGTTCTAGAGAATGTGGTGTTTGTTCCCTATTTATAATAGCTTACCCTGCCAGTGTTGGTGGGGGTGTGATCCTTGATTGGCAGGGCCTAAGAGCCAAGAAAAACACATCACACTGCTTCTCGGTTTCATTGTTGTCCCTCACCTATAGACAGAAATCTTGCCAGACTAAAACAACTATTTGCATCACCCTGGGAACAGTTAGGGAGGAGCCGTCTTAACCCTCTTTCTCCCAACCGTACTTTCCATGCTTCATTGACTCTTTGCCCTCCTGAACGCAGCCCCTCCCTCCAGGGAATCCAGACTACATTTCACTTCGATTATGGTATTGTTTTCTGCTTGATAGTTTGTCTCCTTCGTAGTTTCCTTAAAAGAGATTGTTTTCTGCTTGATTGTTTGTCTGGTGTTATTCCCTGCTTATCTGGGTGTTGGTAGATGTAGAGGATAATGTTCTCGTCTTTTGGTTTCCTCCTCAGCTTTTGTCTCTTTTGAAGGGTGTATAAATATAGTTTATCTCTATGTTTCTGCTATGGAAGAATGTGGTCCAGCAAGAATTAGCTCCTATCCCATAATTCTTCTACCAAATCCAGATTGTAATAGAAATTAATAGCCAAGTTCTGAGGGGTCCTTGCTGCTCTCTTTTGTCTTTGAAGACACTTCAAAGTGCTATTGGTACCACACGATAGGCAAGCTCTTTCTGATAGCAGAGGAAAGTTGATAGCATCCTTACTCTTAAGAATGTGGGAATTTGGAGTATGGAATAATTCTGTCAGTTGACTCTGATTCTGGAATAGCACTCTATAGAGTTTGGTTGACTTCATTTCCTCTTTCTCTCTTCTTTGAAGAATGAAGAATTTATTTTGCCTCCAAAAGACAAATTACCAGTTCCTGAAATGTCAGTCAAGCCTCCTGTGGGAGAGGTGAGTTTTACTTTTGGACTCATAGTGTGCAAAAACAAAAACCTGGCAAAAGGTCCATGGGTGGGGAGAATCTACATCCCTTTCTACCTACTCGAATGCCTTTTGGTCTGGAGAGCAAGCAAATGCCGCTGTGTTGCGTTCTGTAATAGAACATTCATTTAGTGACCAAGTGGAAGTGACTTGTGATGGTTTTCACATGTCCACTGCAGCATCCCCATGGTCACGTGACCAGAATCCAGGTGCTTGGCAAGTGGCATGTATTTATCACCGTTGCAGTGTCCTGGGTTCATGTGATCACCATGTGTTCTGACGGATACCCTGTTTAACTCATGAACCTCAAGCCAAGTTTCAAAAGAAATCCAGTTATTTATTAGGAGCAACATGTCGGCATGAAACCCAAATGAAGCCAGCTCTGATCCCACGTAATTTACGTATCAACTGGGACCTTGTTTTCGGTCTCCTCCCAGGTTGTGTCATAAATCACATTCCCCAACAAAGCACTTTCGAGGGCTGTAAAAATATGCCTCTCAGGCTGGCTCTGGTAACCTGAGATCCAACCTTGAGAAAGGTATGCATGGAATGTACTTCTGATCGTGGCTGCTGAGCTGCTAGTTCTCCCCCCTCCTGCCAATGGCAACTCGAGAGCAGGCCAGGAATGCTTTATGAGTTGACAACTGCTTTCTGACCAGCAAAATCAGTGGGGGAAGCCAGATTTATTTAACAACTGAATGATTCACTTAACAATTGTGGCAGTGAAGGTCGTACAGTGGGACACAACTCACTTAACCGTCTTGCTTAGCCACATAAATTTTGGGCGTAAGTTGAGGACAACCTGTACAGTGGCCTTGTAAGGGTGAGGTGCCCTAAGTGACAAGATAGCGCAAGAAAGTGAAACTTTTATGCTTCAAGAGCTGACGCACTTGCCCCATAAGCATGTGTGAACCTTCGCACTTTGTTAGCCCCTTTTGTTTTTTAACAGCAAGAGACAAATCTGAACTCTGCTGCTAGAAATGTGGAAACGCTTGTAGTGCAGTAGTGCCAAGTGTGAATCATTTTCTGCTCCTATTATGAAGTTCTCCTTTGCTTAGAACAGGGGTCAGCAACCTGCGGCTCTGGAGCCGCATGTGGCTCCTTCATCCCTCTGCTGTGGCTCCCTGTCGCTGGTCGGCAACTCAATTTTGAGAGGAGCTTCCAGTTGGAGGGGGAAGCACGGCGCACCAGGAGGAGACTGGTTTTCTGGTTGGCTCCACAATTGATAGGGCTTTCATTTAGGACAGGTAGAGGAAAACGGATGCTGCGCTAGGAGGAGACTCTATGGTATCGGAGCCGGACTTCCAGTCAACTCCAGAATTGGACCGGGGGTGCGGGGGAGGCTTCCAGTTAGGACCTTTGTGGCTCTTTGAGTGTTTCAGGTTTCCTGGGTTAGAAGGACATAAAGATCCTACTAGATCTGAAGTCTATCTTGTCCATATCCTGTTTCCAATTCAGGTTCCAGTAAAAAGGGGGCAGGATGGCTCAGTGGTTAAAGACACTGAGCTTGTCAGCCAGAGAGCTGACAAGCCCAGGTTCGAGATCTGAGCTTCACGCTACGGGGTGAGCTCCCGTTACTTGCCTCAGCTCCCGCCCATCTAGCAGTTTGGAAGCATGCAAATGCGAGTAGATTAATAGGTACCACTTCGATGGGAAAGCTCCTTGCGCCTTTGGCATATATAGCCATGTTGGCCACATGACCCACAGTAGTGTCTTCAGACAATGCTGGCTCCCTTGGCCAAGAAACAGAGAGGAGCATCTAGAGCCAGATACAACTGATTTTAAAAGGAAGATGTGAGGCAGCCTAAGTTGTTGGCATACCGAAACTTGTGACCATGAACATTACCGTATTTTTCGGACTATAAGACGCACCATAATTTTGAAGAGGTAAATTTTTTAAAAACGTTTTTGTACTGTACATGCCACCGAAAGCCTCTGCACATCCATTTTTGCAAAGGGAGCGGGGTTTCAGTAGGCCAAAAATGCTGTATTCAGTGTATAAGATGCACCCAGATTTTCACCTTCTTTTGAGTGGGGGGGGGGAAGTGCGGCTTATACTCCGAAAAATACGGTATTTGGAAGACTTTCTTACTCTTGTTTCCCCTAAATTTCCTCATGGTTTTAGTATTAGTACTGTGGGAGGGATTGCTACTTCATGACTACTCCCCCTAAGACTGGTTCATGCCAATAATTGTTAGTACACAGGAAATAGCAGTAGCACTTAGGCTGATATACCTTGTCAGTAGGCCTTGAGGAGCAACACTGGTGCAATGTGCCACATGGCTTCTGGCCGCAACCGCAGAGATGGTCCTAAGGTAAGCAGATAAGACATCCCCCGAATATAAGATCCGGTGCTTATTTGGGGGCTGAAAAGAAAATAAGACCAGGTCTTATTTTCGGGGAAACACAGGTACATATGAAAAAAATTAAAATGCAGTAATTGTCTCCTTTTACCTTCGTTACTCATATTTGCTCATTGTTCCTTCCTTTTAAAAGACTAAAATAGAAGCACCCCGGAGCACCAAAGCAAGTGCAAACGGCGTCTAACCGCTTTCCCACAAAAGAACTGGACCCTCAGGGAGAACACACACACAAACGCTACCCTTGCAACTTGCAAAATGTCGGCAGCTTTCATCGCCCATCTCCTTCGCAGACCCAGCCCTGCAAATTCCGTTTCTCCAGACTCGATGGCCGTCTATCTCAACCAGGCGAAAAACTCACTTTGTATCCCAGGGCGAAGATTTGCATTCGTGAGACATCCGTCTAACTTATTTTGTTTTGTAAATATGTACATAATCCCACAGACTAGACCAGTTGTAAACTGAATGCAAAACGGTTCCCGCGTAGGGTGTGTCATTCCTTAAAACTTCTTTTGTGATTGATTTAAATTTTGTAAGAAGGGGACTCCTTGCTACCCTGAGCCTTTTTTGCTATGAGAAATTGTAAGGAGTTGGGTTTCCCTCCCCTCAGCTGTCAAGGCCTGAATTGATTTACGGCCCGGTTCTTTAAAAAATCTTATTTTAAAAGTAGGTCACGGAAATAGCCCTTTCCAATTGATCTTGCATAAAAATTGCACTCCCTTCTCAAACTCAAACAAGAAGAATGGAAGATGGACATCATTTTCCTCTTACTATACGCAAATAAAATGGAAACCCTCCATGGCCCATCTGGTTTCCTCCTGTCACACGTATACAGCATTATTACCGATTGGTGAAAAGACTGCACACTCCAGTGTGTTTTCCTGTTGTTTCAAAAGGAGCAAATGTTACACAAAACACACAGAGTTGGGACCATAAACTTATTTAAATAGAGTAACGAGCAATTAAAGTATGGATTTAAGTTATCTACAACTCGCTCAGGCAGACGCTGCCAATTAATTAATTTATTAATCCGATTATTTGTAATTGTATTGTCTTTGTTAATTAAATTGTGGATGTTGAATTAACCTGTAACCAGTGTCTGTCTGAATTGGGGTTCTAAAAAGAAGATTGTGGAAGATTACGAAAATGTCTGCAGTTTTTCTGCCAGGTTTGCCTTAAACACAAGTTTAAGATACTATGACAAAAAAAAGGGACAATCTTACCGTCCTTTGCTAATGCTCTGCGTAATATTAGCAGCGAGGCAGCTTCTAGCTAAGAAATAAGTGATTTGAGGATTGCATTCATCACACAAGATGCACTTGTGTCAGATATATCCTCCCAACAGAGAATCATTTTAATCTTAACTTCATACATTTGTCCCCGAAATACACATTTCTAATCGATTTACAAGTGGTCCTCAACTTACAACAGATCATTTACAACAGCACTGAAAAAAGTGATTTATGACCGTTTTTCTCACTTGCAGCCATTACAGCTTCCCCACAGTCACATGATCAAAATTCAGACGCTTGGCAACTGACTCAATTTTATGACGGTTGCAGTCTCCTCTGTGTGTGTGTGTGTGTGTGTGTGTGTGTGTGTGTGTGAGACAGGATCCCCTTTTTGTGACCACCTGAGTAGCAAAGTCGACGGCTTAACAACTACAGTGGATTCATTTAACAACTGTGGCAAGGAAGGTTGTAAAGTGGGACAAAATGCATTTAACAACTGTCTCGCTTAGCAATGGAAATTTTGGGGCGCAGTTGTGGTCGTACATCAAGGTGCTACCTGTCTAAACATCTTTTGGGAAAAATCAAAGCTAACTTTTGCCCTTTTCCTAGTCTCTAAAAACTTTGTTGTTTGGACTGATAGTACCAGAATTTCTTTAAAAACATTCTGAAAAAATTTACTGCAAGATCTGTTTCAACCAGTGGTGGGTTCTGGGAGATACGGCCCGTTACGGGCGTACCGGTGGTAGACGGGATCAGTGGCCACCGTACCAGAACGGTGGGTTGTTTGGCCCACCTGCATTCCTTACCACTTTTTGATGCAAACGGGCCAATTGCGCATGTGCACACAGTGTGCGGCGCCTGTGCAACCTCTGAGTGTTGCTGGGTGGTGGTGTGCGCATGCGTGCCCTCCAAGGACGCCCGGCCCTGTCGCAGTGTACCGGTTACGACAGGATCCAGAACCCACTACTGGTTTCAACCAGGTGGAGTCTGATACGTGAGCTATATGTGTGTGTGTGCGCACACATACATAAACATTACTGAAATGAATGCTGGGATAAAGGAGCCACCGGAGACAGCTTTGAGGAACGAAGCTCAAGGTTTCCACGCAGCTAAGCTTCTATCTTAACGTTAACTCATGGCTTATTTAAACTGCGTAAAAATCCCAACGGTGGAGTTCCTACAACAGGCTGAGCCAAAACAAACAGATGTCGTTTAACACAAAATAGAAGCCCAGGCGTCAGCTAATGGGAGAAAAACGATCTGCAAATGAGGGAAATCTACAGTGTAAAGAAATAAATGTTAACAGAAAAACACAGATTCAATATTAAAAAGCCTAGAGATGAAAGGAACAGGAGCGATGGGAATAGAACGATGTACTGTTTCCTTGAAAGCCCCCGGTTTATTTATTTTTATTTCATACTATCTGATAACCCAGCATTGCCCAGGTATTTATTTATAGGGAGAAAATGTCCAGACCAAACGTAATTTCTAATGTTGGATTGTCCTCCTAACCAGAGGGAGCCCCCTTGTGGAGCTCTGTGAAGCTGTTCCCATGGCAACTTCACTGCGCTGTACAGTAGAAGCCATTTTACAGCAGTATGGTAGAAGCCATTTTACGGTACAATAGGCTGTGTCTTAACAGAACACACACCCCCCCGAGGGGTTTTAGGGGGTGTCTTTCCCCCCCCCCCCATAGTATTTGTTTCCCGAGAATAAGTCATATGTGTACCAAGTTTGGTTGAAATTGCTCGAGGCGCTCTAGAGTTATGCTGAACACACATGCACACAAACATAGTGATAGATGATAGATAGATAGATAGATAGATAGATAGATAGATAGATAGATAGATAGATAGATAGATAGATGATAGATGATAGATAGATAGATTCATTCATTCATTCATT